ATCCAATGAAAATAGTAGATCTTATTACAACTATTTGGCCATTTCATCTTGCACTCTATCCATTTTTTTCGCCTTTAATTTTTTATCACTTGAGTCATGGTGCTATTTTTCACTAAATACTGATGATCCAGCTTGCAATTAGCAAGCAACTTGATCATTGTAGCAAGTAATGCTTATCCTTCACGTTACTTAGTGAAAACACTGATAGTGATTGGAAGAATCTGTTTGCAATGGTTTTGATGTTATCTACCACTCTTTCATTTTTTTTAGCATAGCTCTCTACTCAAGGCGTCAAGATAATATGTTGACAAAAAATATTGTAACCCATCCTATCAGTTAATGTCTTGATTTACTGATTATGGAAGATGTATTTTATTTTGTCAAGAAAAGCAGTATCACAGGGTGATCTCATAATTATTAGGTTGATCACTCAGTTATTAGCCAAAAGTATCCTAGAGTTATGTGCATTACCCATATTAATATAGAACGTGAATATACTATAATCACTACTACAAAAAAGAGCTTTCACGACACTAATTTACGGTGGTCATTAGGAAAAACACTGTAAAAAAGATAATGATGGCATTTTTGTAATTATAGGAAAGTAAATTTTACTTTTTGCTATGGTTATCCAGAAAACGACCGTTAAAAGTCTTTTTTATGGTGGTTTTTAAAAAACCACCTTAAAAAATCTATTAAAATTTTAAAACCCTATCCATCACGCGATAGTTTCACTTTTCACAGTCAGAGCTTATGGTCCCCCATCACCATCCCTACTCGATTTTCTCCCTCCTCCTACCTTTGCCAACATTTATCTTGTGCTTCTATCGTCTTCACCATATTCTTCCATCACTGTCACTATTGCCGTTGCCATCGCATCATCCTCTTCATTCTTATTTGTGAGTTTTTTGCCCTTTTTCCTCCATTCTTTTGATGGGTTTCATAGTTTTTATGGTTTGGTTGTTTTGTTTGATTAAAAATATGATGTTTGTTTTGAGTTCAAATATGATGTTAAAAATATGAAGTTTTTTTTTCCTCCATACAATACTTGAAAGCTTTAAGAGATCCAATTTCTCTCTCCCTTATTTTGTAGATCAGAGTTTGACGGCCTGAAATTCATGAATTTTATCATATTTGAGTCTTTGATTTTACCTTTATTAAATCCTAATGGCTTCAATTTGGTGGTTGAAGGTGAAGCTAAGTGGTGCTATTAAGACGAGAAAAGAATCTACGTTTGCTCCATCAAAATGCTTTTAACTAGTGACAGGTTATTGTTTGGTTGATTTTCAAACCTCTTTCTTTGGGGCTTTGTTCCCCCATTCTATCATAATCAATAGGATGAAAGGTAAACTAAAAAAAAAAATTCACAACAGTTATTTATATAATCACCATAAAAAGTCACATACAATGGCGGTTTAAATCCTCTACATTTTATGTCAATAGTATAGACGTCGCTCTCAAAACCACCATGAAAAGCTCATTTTAACTGTTGTCAAATATCTTTTTTTTACAGTGGTAAATAAAGTTATATTAGTGTATTTTGAAAGAAGTAAGTCTACTGAAATTGTGATCTAAAAGAAATATTGTAATATATAAAGATTGATATGTTAGTTTCCTTATTTAACTTATGGAGAGCTTGGGTTTTTTGTTCTTTTCTGGAGCAAGATTGTTTTCCTTTTTTCCCTCCTCAAGGATGCTTCAAAATGAGTGTTTTATGAATGATGTCTCATTCTTTAATATGGCAGTTAGGCACCACCATTTAATGGATTTTGCATAAACGAGTTTGAAATAAATCGAAAATATAATACTTGCTACCAGAATAGTGGGATTAAAATATATTACTCTTTGTTTGCATTCTAAATTTTTGCTTTTGAATTTAAAAAGTGTAGGGATATCTTATTTTCACACTTACAACATTAACCGAGTCCTATTGATATGAGCAGAAATGAATTCAACTGTTATAAGCAATTGATTTTGTTGCATTTTAAGCAATGTTTTCTTTTCCATTGCTTATATAATGAATACAGAGCAGAGCATGAGTGATTTTCTCGAAAAAGTATGAATGTGAAAATAAATGAGGAAAAAATATTGGCAATGTGGCCACGTCAATTCCAAAGATATGAATCAATATCAATAGTCAGATTTAAAAGGATTTTGAAGTAATGAGTTCTGATGCAACAGTAAGATACGGTAGTATTATTCTTTGTCCAAAATATTGGCTCACCAGAAACAGTGGGATTTGTTTTCTGGCAGAAAAGTATTTCATTTGAGACTATTGGATTATCATTTTATGAGTTAGAAAAACCGATTTGAGATATGTTATAGTTACTTCATAGAGAACTAGCAAAGATATCATAAGAGCTAATTGTTTAATTATTATAAGTAAATGAGAAATACTTAAGAATTCTAGATGATGGTAAATGAGAAATGTCATTATATGATCACAAATAATAACTATTGCACTTCAATCTAGAGTATGCCAATGATAAAGTATTATAACATAAAGTTAAGAGTATCGTCAGGTTGTATATAAAATTGAAATGCTAATCTGAACTTGCACCACTTTTTTTGCCTAATTGAAAAGGTACATATTTAAAAACTTAAAATGCTGATTTTCCCAACTTAATTTTGCATGAGGTAGCATATAGCTAGCTGAGTCATTCGATCTATCCAAACAATTTTTTTCTTTTTTTTAGAAATTATGTTTTTATTCAAGGATTAAAGCTCTTTTTACTAATTAGAGGATACAATACCTAATTTATTGTGTTATGGGTTTTCTTAACACTACAAAAAAACAGCGAATTAGCGACGGAATTTGCGACGGAAACAAATTCCATCGCAAATTTGTGACGGAATTCGTTCCATCGTAAATTTGCGACGGAATTTGCGACGAAAATTTCGTCGCTAATTTTTTTGATAGATTAGCGACGGAATTTCTGTCCGTCGCTAATCCGTATTTAGCGACGGAATTAGCGACGAAATCTTTTTCTGTCAGACAATTCCGTCGCTAATTCCGTCGCTAATCTGTCAAAAAAATTAGCGACGGAATTTCCGTCGCAAATTCCGTCGCTAATTCGCTAATTTTGAATAACAAGATTTTTTGACTAATTGTAAATGATTTTCTTCAAATATATAAACCACATATACATATATAATATAATGTAATATAATATATATATATATATATATAATTAAATTGTATATCTTATCAATGTTAATTAAAAAATAAATTTAAAAATTATTTATGAAAAATTATTTATGATGTAAAATTCAAAATTAGTGTCGTTAGAAATTAAAATGATATTAAAATTATTTTTAAAAAATAAAAAATTATAAAAATAGTAAAACAAATATTTAAAAATTATTTTTTCATTAAAATAGTTATTATTGAAATTATCATATAGTATATTTTTAGTTTTTAATAATATATATGTATATATAATTGTTTGTGTAAAATAATATAATATATATTTAATTTTACATAATAAGTCAACAGGTTCATTGTAGCTCAATTGGTAAAGCCGCACATGCGCACGGAGGAGGTCCTAGGTTCAAGCCATGGAGAAGTCACTTTGAGAAGGGAATTATGTGGTGGTGACACGTGGCGCACACGTGGCAGGCAGAGGTGAGGTGGCAGGCACACGTGGCAGGCAGAGGTGTGACACGTGTGGCAGTAGATGTGAGGTGGCAGCGACACGTGGAGGTGGTCTCAGTGATGATGTGGCAATTGGTAGAGGTGCCACGTGGCATTTTATTTTATTTTAAAAAAAATCGAGTTAGCGACGGATTAGCGACGGAATTCAAAATTCCGTCGCTAATTAATTAGCGACAGAGGAATTAGCGACGGAAAAAATTCCGTCGCTAATCCGTCGCTAAATGCAAAATTCCGTCGCAAAATTCCGTCGCTAAAACCATGTTTTTTTGTAGTGTAAATGGTGCATAATATTATTTGGTGCAACTAATTATTCTTTCAATTATACTACCTCCGGTCCTAATTATAAAAGCTAGTTAACTAAATTTGAGGAGATTAAAAAAATAAATTAAGTTAGTTATTTGTAATAAATAGGTGTTGTCTTTTCTAAAATATTCCTGCTAATCAAGTGTATTGGCTGGAATTACTATTATTAGAAAGATTATTTTGGGAAAAAATGTATAAATATGAGAGACAAAGTGGATTGGGGTCTTATAATGAGGACCAAAATAAAAGTCAAATAAAATCTTATATTAAGGATCGAAGATAGTATTATTTATTAATACTATAGATAGTAGCTTCATTGATAACCACATGTCACATGCTTCTTTATAGTAATACTAAGGGGGTGTTTGGCTAACCCCAAAAGTGCTTCTTAGAAGTGCTTTTCTGCAAATCGAGGCAAACTCCTCCACATATTTACTTTGTATACCATAAAAGCACTTCTGAAACCATGGTTTTGTTCTTACCTAAACACCCCCTAAATCATCTGAGGAAGTGGATTTAATGAAGTTAATAAACATTTTGCAATAAACAGATTATACATGCAAATTAATCACTATATTTATATTTAAGTAATATTTAATTATATTCTTCCCTTGCATGGCATGGGGGAGTTAATGCTAGTTATTAGTATATAAATATCCAAAGGTTAAAGGACAAGGTTCAAGGTTGCCAAGAAAATAAGAGGTGGCCCTTGGAGATCTCCCTTACACAGCTAAAGGTATATGAAAACCAACCAATTAAACAAATAAAATAAGGTGGCCAAGTGGTCGAGGGAGGGTTTTTTACACATGCACAACAAACATCTCACAACAATTGCTAAGCACAATTCTAATTAAGCCCTTTTCTAAAATCTAAAACCTAAAATTCACAACTCACGTACAACGAAACCAAACTAAACAAAAAAAGAAAACAACAAAGTAAAAACAAAAAACACAAAACCAAGAAGAACAAGAAGTACCCACCACATGCTTCTCACCACCATTATCTGGGCCTTGGCTCTCTCGTCGTCTCCTCCGACTTGCTAATGGGCGCGCACAACGCTTGGCCTGTGCGCGTTCCTGAAGCAACTTCGTCTCTTCTTGTTCTTCTACTTCTTCTTCTCTCGTCGTCGACTCCTTCGCTGTCCTACTCCGATGCCGAAGCCCTCTTGAAGTTCAGAAGCTCTCTCAACGATGTCGTTGGTCTCAGCAATTGGGATCCCGCCGTCAACCCTAAGCCGCCGTGCACCGGCAATATCCCCAACTGGGTCGGCGTTTTCTGCATCAACAACTCTGTTTGGGGCTTCCGTCTCGAGAATATGGGCCTCATGGGCAACATTGACGTTGAAGCTCTGGCTTCCATGCCCCGTTTAAGGTCTATTAGCTTGATGAATAACACCTTCGCCGGACCTTTGCCTGAAATCAAGCGGGTGAAGAATTTGAAGTCGATATACTTATCGTACAACCATTTCTCCGGCGGCATCCCCGACGACGCGTTTGTTGGTATGAATATGTTAAAGAAAGTTTATTTGGCTAATAACGAGTTCACCGGCAAAATCCCTTCCTCCCTCGGCGTCTTGCCTAACCTTCTCGCCGTCCGGCTTGACGGCAACAAGTTTCACGGCCGAATCCCTAACTTTCAAAATACCACTTTGAAGCTTATCGACTTGTCTAACAATAATTTGGATGGCCCCATTCCAGAGAATCTATCCTCTTTCAGCGCCTTCGCCTTCACAGGTGCATCACAAAAACCATTTCATCTCTTCAACAAGTAAATTATCGAACGTTAGGTTCTGAATTATGTGTGTGTGTGTGTGTGAGTGCAGGGAACACACATTTATGCGGGCCTCCTCTGCGGAATCGATGCGCATCAATCCCTTACGCCACCATGGATTCTCCATCAAAGATAACGGTTCTGAGGATTCTGCTCATTTTAATTCTCACATTACTAATAATAGTGGTGATCGGATCGGCGATAGTGATAGCCCGCCTGAGAACACGCCGGAGATACGGAGACGACTCGGTCTCGACGTTCCGAAGTCAACCTTCTGCGAAGCACGCTCCTCCGGCGTACACAAAAGCGAAAAGCATAGGCGATCATTACGACAACACAAAGCTTCTTACTGAACAAAACCACAGTACTTATCAGAATACGCCATCGATATCGAAGAAAGGAGAAGCTGGGAAGTTGATATTTGTGAGGAAACGGGAGAAGAAGTTTGATTTGCAGGATATGTTGAAAGCGTCGGCGGAGATTCTGGGGAGTGCGGCGTTTGGGTCTTCGTATAAGGCGGTGATGAAGGATGATCAAGCGGTGGTTGTGAAGAGGTATAAGCATATGAACAATGTGTCAAGAGATGAGTTCTTTGAACACATGGCAAGGCTTGGAGATCTCTCTCATCCAAATCTGCTACCCCTCGTTGCTTATTATTACAGGAAAGAAGAGAAACTCTTGCTCTCGGACTTCGTTCCAAAGGGTTGCTTGGCCAGCCAACTTCATGGTAATATATTATTAATACTAATAATGCATTAATTGGGCTTGAACAGTGCAGATCACCCATGCTCGTTATATTAATTTGAGACCATAAATTACACTTCTGATCCTTTAATTTTTTATATTTCCTTCCTTAAATTCTAAATATAAGAGCTAATAGAGGAGTTTGTTTTGATCTTAAATAGACTTCAACGACTTTTGTCTCCTAAACTTATACTCTTCTAATTCTTAACATAAGACCTATTTTATAGTGCAATTTACATTACAAAATAAATGTTACATTTAAGACCGAATGAGTAATTTTTTTCCCCTGAGCTCTCCCTCTTAATCACATATATGAAGGGGGTTTTGCATCAAAAGAGTAGTTTCCTAGTGCAAATGTTTAAAGGGGTATTATAGGGAAACCTATACACTTTTTTACAAATAATTAAGTTAACTAATTATTTTTAATTTCTATAAATTGGGTATTTATCTCATATATTTAGGACCAAAGGGAGTACAAGTTTTCCGTTTTGTCCCTTGATTCTAAAAAGTATCTCTTCGGTGCTCTAACTCAGAGGCCGTTAGTCTCAAATGGTCTTTTAATTTTTTAACAATCATTATTACTTTAAAAATTAAATTCATTATTGAAACTTTCAGTACTTAAATATCAATAAAAGGACTTTTTGTTAGCATCTTTACGGTTAAAGAACTAAAAAAACAGTAAGAACCCCAATGACACATAAGTATTAAAGATACAATTTTGCCATTTGAAACTAACGATAGTTTTTTCATATGTGCAGGTAATCATAATGACGAGAAGCCAGGCTTAAACTGGTCAACTCGGTTGAAAATTGTGAAAGGAGTAGCGAGGGGTTTATCATACCTATACACTGCATTACCGAGCCTAGTAGTGCCTCACGGTCATATGAAATCTTCCAACATTTTATTAGACGAATCATACGAACCCTTGCTCACAGATTACGGTCTGATTCATGTGATCAATCTGGATCATGCTCAACAGATAATGATGCCATACAAATCGCCGGAGTACGCTCAACTTGGCCGGATCACGAAGAAGACGGACGTCTGGAGCTTCGGCATCGTGATTCTGGAGATCTTAACGGGCAAATTCCCAGAGAACTATCTGACTCACAGGCACGAAACTGTTTCAGACATTGCAAGCTGGGTGAATAGTATGATCACAGAGAAACGTACGGGTGAAGTGTTTGATGTTGAAATGGGAGGGATTGAGAATAGTAAGAGCGAATTGCTTAAACTTTTGAAAATTGGACTGAGTTGTTGTGAGGAGAATGTGGAGAGGAGATTGGATATGAAGGAAGCTCTGGACAAGATTGAAGAGTTGAAGGATGAAAGTGATGGAGATTTTTCTTTGATTGTTACCGGCGAACGGGATGCTTTTCAAGTTATATGATGATTAATTAACGTTGGACTAATCCGTTAATTCTTCTTCGGATTTCTTGAGGTTATATATAAGAATCTGATGAATCAAGTTGGGTGACATTCAACGCAGAAGCATCGATTAGTATTGATCTTTAATCTGTGTTATTCCTGACTTGGACTTTAGCATGCAAGAAAATTTGTACGTACAGATAGAAGTCAAAGTGAATCCATGCATGCACACAAAAAAAAAAAACCATGAAAATGTGTCACTCTAATTAACCTTGCAGTTATGTTTTGATTAATTAGTTTTTTTTTTCCTGTTCTGTGCAATTTTTGTTGGCTTTGTAATTAGGCAATTTCTGGTGATTTCTCTGACTAGATTCTTGCTGTAATTACTTCGCATAGAACTAGTTGGGTTTAAATTGAAGTTCTTTAATTAACATGTCTGACCATCTCCTTTGTCTTCATCAGACGTGAGAAAAACGGTTCACGTTGATTTATATACTATAAAAGAAAACTTAGTAATAATTTTTTTGCTGCAATTTACAAGATTAATAATAACATATGTTGAGTTAATGAACAAAATTTTACATGAGAAATTCAAAATTCTAATTGAAATATAATGGTAAAAACTAAGAAGAGATCAGAAGCACACATAAAAATATCTTAAGAATAAGAAGAACATAACCCAGTGTAAGCCGCACTACGCTCTATATACATCCTACTTTTAATAGTTAATATAATAATTATATAACTAATTTGGTAATATTAAAAAAATTAGTTAAGTTGATTATTGTCACAAATATACATTGGTCTCTGTAAACAACTATCTTCTTCAATTATATTTATTGGATAATTGAAATTATTTCTTGATAGGAACCCGCCTTACAATATGGATATTTTACGGAAAGATAGGAAACAAAATGGATTAAGGTCTCATATTTAGAATCAAATTTGATTCTCAACTAAATCCTGTATTAAGGATTGATATTAGTTTTTAATAAAAAAAATTACAACTCCCAGTCCTTGATATAAAACCCAGCTGACTAATTAATTTGAAGAAATTAAAAGAGTTACTAAATTACTTTAAACTATTTATATTTATCATTTTTCTCCAAACTATTATATAATAATCTAATGATCCATATAAGAATTTTAGAGAGATCATGTAATATATGTTATAATTAAGTAATTTAGTAACATTTTTAATCTCTTTAAATTAATCAACTGGATTTTATATTAAAGACTGAAAGAATATATTGTATCAAAACATTAATTAAAACATTAGTTTTTCTTAAATATCATTTGGTTTGATGTTTTCTAACAAATTAAACGACCTTCTAATTAACTAGCCAAACAACTCCTAATAACTAATAAATCTCATCAAGGTTAATTTTGAAGATTCGAAAGCATTAACTAAGACACAGCAGCATAATGCAATATAATTAATACAAGATAGATATATAATTTGTTTAGTTAATTAATTCATCGATTATTGTAACACCTACTATAACTATACTAGAAGTGCTAATTAATTACCTATCAAACCACTAAGTCAGGTTTGATCCTGTATCAGGAATGAAATTTTCTAAAAAATTTTAAACTCTTTTAAACAACTTGCAAATGACTTGTTTAGTGGTTCAAATATCCAATTAATTCTCTTACTCAAATATTGATGAGCAACTTCAAACTAATCAGTTATCATTGAAGTCACGGTAATAACGAAACATCCATCTATCATCATATAGCCATCCAAGCGGATGGTACTTACATGCCAGCTGCAAAAACCATGACTTCCCTCTTTATAGAGGCATGCATACACAGCCCATAAGTACTTACATATAATTATATACATATCCTTAGCCACACAGGGCTACCAAAACATAACTAAAATATCAAAATGAGACTCGATGACTAACTATTTTATCACTTGAGCTTCCAACCTGCTAAACTCTTTTAATAACTACTCCCTTGCCCTTGGATCCTCTTGCCCTAGCTATGTTTCATAGAAGAAATGGGTCAGATTCTAGGAATTTTAGTAGTAATAGTAGTCCATCATACAATTATACAGAGCTCAAAACACATGCAAAATAAGCCATATTAACAGCACTTGCAACCAAGCATAAATAGCGATGCTCAAACAACATAGGCTTTGCAAACAGATATAGTCAATGATGGTCAGCATCACATGCTTTGCAATATGTGTGGCCATGGCAATTAGATCAATACAAGAAAACATCACATACTCATAATTGAGTAAAGCTTTATAAGCTCAATGCAAAGCAAATTCCACATACTCTTACCTAAGTACAGCTCTACAAGCTCAACGCAAAGCAAACTCCACATACTCTTACATGAGTACAGCTCTATAGGCTACCAATCATACATCACAAAACATATTCACCATATATTCATTAAAGAATATAGACAATATGGCACAAACAGACATGAAAAACTATTGCATAAGTATATGAGAGAGAAAGAGTCACTACTTAGACTTTTTCTAGTTTAACCTTGTCGAGATTTCTTCTTTACTTGCTTTTTGCCAGGCTTGGGCAAATATCAAATCCTATAATATAGTTTCATGTACAAAAGAGTCAATGCTTAGTCTATTTAACTTTTATTATCTAAAATATAACTTCTCTTGACCCACTAATGAACTCTATTCCTTTTTATTTAATAATTGGCTGTCATAGGCAAAAACATTATATTCATTAATTTATTTAAAAACATTAACAATTCTTTCCTTTCTCTTAATCCCAATTCTCTCTGAGTTTTTCCCTTTTTAATAACTAGTTATCTTGGTCAAAAATTTGTATTTGACTTTTTCCTTTTAAGAACAATTCCCTTGGTTAATACCTGGAAGCACCTATTTAATATTTAAGAGCAACCAGCATATTAACTTACTTATTTATTCTCTAATTGCCAGTAAACATAGTTGACAACTTAATACATTTAATCCAAGACTTCCAAGTTCCAATATAATTCTTCCTTATTATTCAACCATCTAAAATCATTGCACAGCTCTTGAAAATATGGAATACTCATTTTTGAATCATCTCTAGCTTCCTCAATATGAACCTCATGGCCTTTACACGATATATATTTACACACATCTGTATCCATTAATGAACCTTTTTTCCGCTTTCGGCAGCGCAAGAGCATGTGTGTACACACACATATATCACAGCCACATTTCTGTACATATATACATAATTATATTCTCTAAACCACTTCCACATTTATCATTTGCAAATTGCCTAACCCAAAATTGAAATCATATTTAAATCATTGACAAGTAAAACTCCCTAAAACTGCACACCCAGGCTTTCCGTCACATCTCTATATATATAGACACCCCCCCCCCAATTTATGCTCTTCATTTTCTCATTAAACCCAAGTCATTTCTTTGAACCATGACCCCTGTTTCGGACATTGAGAACCAAAGAAGAAGAGCAGCAAAATTACCTTCACAGATCAGTCATAAGTTACACAAAATTGAAGGAGAAAGTGACATGCAAACCCCTATAAATCTATTTGGGTTTCGATTTACCCCCTTCAATTCGGCAATCTTCACCCATTTAAATTTTGTAGAGTTTGATGCTATATTGCAGAACAGGGGCTGGAAGATTAAGTTTTGGAATCACCAAAAACATAACCCAACAACGCATGCAACACTACAATTCACTCGTTCAAGCTTCTAGCTACATCTTCCATCCATTAGTTCATTCAGTTCATAGCTTTCTTCAAGAACCCAGATTTTTTAATTTATCATCATCGCCTCTAAGGTGCAGAAAACAAAATAATAATAATAATAATAATAATAATAATAATAATAATAATAATAATAATAATAATAATAATAATAAGGATTTGAGGGTGTTAATCGGTCTTACCTCAGTCAGAAAACACCATTGCATGTAAACTTCTCCCCTCCAATCACCACTTCACTGGCGATGTACTTCTGTCTAACTCCAACGTTTTCGCTCAGCCTCTCTCTGATTTTCTCTCGGCTTGCAGATAAAAATAGGGAAGGAGACCTTTTGTTAGTCCCGAGGGATGGAGGAGGATAGGTTAGCCAAAAGATGGTTATCGGTTCAAAAGGAGACAAGGTGCCCCTGCTATTTTAGGGTTGTAACATCCTAAATTGTTATGCCTGGAATTTAATTAAATTTATAAATAAATATTTTTTAGCAAAAAGTTAATAAAGGTTAAAATATAAGCAAATTTAATTAATCATGACTTTGTGTGTGAGAATATGTATGTGTAATGTTATAGAAATAAATAGCACAACATGATATAAAAATCCCACATCGACTGAATACTAAAATGAGGGAGTTCTAGGAGCCTATATATAGGAGGTAGTAGGTAGAGTTAAGAGTAAACAAATAATTTGCGCAGATATCTGAAGCAGTCTCAAACAAGTGTTAGTTTTGAGTTTGTGAACTGTTGGATTAGTTTGAAATTTGGTTAGCTAGTTTGGGACATCCAACTAGTCAATTTTAATGGTTGGATTGTCAATCTGATTCTAATGAGTTACAAGTTATTATGTACATTCTTAAAAAAATTTTCCAGATTTGATAGATAGAATCCTAAATAGTAAATTAGTGTTTTTAAATTTGTTCACTGTTGGATTGACCCAAAATTTTAAGAGTAGACTTATGACATGTAAGACATTAAATTAAATGGTTGGATCAATAATTAAACTTTTATAGTGAGAATAAATTAACTCAAATTAAATATATTTGTCTAAGTTCTTTAAAGATAGAACATAAGCTATAAATTGGGGGTTTTCTATCTAGATTACAAAGTTGGTGATTCTAATGATATAACCTAATAATTAAAGGATAATATAAGTTAAGAGAGCCTAGGATTTGAATCTAAGTCATTATACATACATATATATATATATATATATATATATGTTTTCTTACTACAAACCTTAGAAAAAGCCTCTTGAGCTAAAATTCTGAGTAACAGTGAATGGGTCAGAGGGGGAGTTAAAGGCTAGAATTTTATGAGTAACTTACT